ACAGACAGACACAGACAGACAGACACAGACAGACAGACAGACAGACAGACAGACAGACAGACAGACAGAGACAGACAGGCAGAGAGAGACAGAGAGCAAGACAGAGAGAGACAGAGAGCAAGACAGAGAGAGACAGAGAGCAAGACAGAGAGAGACAGAGAGCAAGACAGAGAGAGACAGAGAGAGACAGAGAGCAAGAGAGAGAGAGACAGAGAGAGACAGAAAGCAAGACAAAGAGCAAGACAAAGAGCAAGACAGAGAGAGACAGAGAGCAAGACAGAGAGAGAGATTGGTATTGCAAATTCTTGGATTATTACACATGCCATTTGTCTCATATAGCCAGGAATTGGCCAAAGGCTAGCAGACTGCTAACCAGTGGCAGATATAGGTTTCACTCACACTGTGTTGTGGAGTGTGGAGAGACACTTCATTCACAAGCTAGCCTAATAACTTTATATAATAAGGCACATAAAATGATCTTATCTTATTAACCCTATGTGCGCAGGCTTTTTTGGCAGCAATGTGGTCCGCCAAACGGTTATATCCGTATTGGCTGCACTTGTATGGATGCCACCCATATCATCGATACTATGCTGCCATGGCATCAGAGTCGATACCACCCACAAACAAAGGGTTAAGGAAATAATAAACTGAAAGTTATAACATAAAACAGAACAAATACATCAATCCATAATGTAAAAATTATTCATTTTTTGCTTTACACCACACAGTTTGTGTACAGATCTACAGACCAGAGTGATTGTTTTCATTAAGCAACAAAGCAAGATGCTTGGTTATATATAAAAAACTTATCAAAGGAGAGGAACCTTAAATAGGCAGAACTGTCTTTGCCTTGTCCTTATGCACTTAACCCACTCACAATTGGGGTTCTAAGTGCCATACTGAAACACATGCTGGGCTGTGCAGTAAGTCAGCTGTACTTGGCTATTTGCTCTTTTATTTTATGTAACAAGACTAAAAAGAGGCTTTAAACCTAATATTGCGGGGCTGTTTCTCATTGACTACAGCCAAGGCCAAAAAGAGCAAAATCACTGTGTAGCGTACACAACTTGGAGCAGGCTCAACTATCCATGACATGATGGAATGTCATCACAGCATGAGCAATGGTCTATCAAAACATGACAGGACGTCACCCTGGAGTGAGTGGGTTAAGGGGTGCAGATATTAATTGTACAATATGGTGTATTTACAAAAGTGAAGATAGAAATTACTGAAAGAAATAATAAAAGTCCCTTCACTCTCCATAAGACGGAAGATAAACAATCCTCTTGAAATGGAAGTAAACTAAATATTCAGGAAAGATAGCATTTAGAGGTTCCAGAGATAAAACATGAATCAGCAGTTACTGCATTAACTGAGTCTTCCGAGTATCTGTGATGATGTTACTGCCATGTATTGTGTGGCCATGGAAGAAGGTTAGAGCAAACAATCTGCAAGCTCATATGAACAGAGAAATGTCAATGCAAAAAAAAAGGAGACAGAGGCCACCTTACCACAGAGAGCAAGAGAGTCTATTGTGGAGGTGGCAGCTGGATTATGCATTAGATGATATGCTTTGGATTCAACTTTGTTGAGGAGTGAAACAGCTGAAGAGCCACTCACTAGTCCCCTGTACAGCTGGAGTAGCTGCTCTGAGGAAAAATGTTCACAGCACATGAACAGGACTAACAATTTCTTTGTAGCAGTTTTTGGCAACTCTATGAAGCATGGCCTTCGAGACAGATACTGATTCTTGATACTGATATGGCTAATAATGTGAACTTAATTACAGCAAGGCCTTGGCTTTGAGGCAACTTTTTTATAGACAACTTCTGGATATAAACATACCCTTAAGGTTCTATCATAAATATATATACACATATAAATACCACAATGCATTCGTTCCTGGCACAGCCACTCACCACTATGACTGTCACATGAACCAAATCACTTAATAACTTACAATAAATCAGACCAGTTCTCCACTCTGAAGCATAATTTTTATTAATTTATCCTTTGTGATCATGCCGTGCATTTAGGATCATACCAAGTTAATTAAACACTAGTCTTGGTTTGAGTACAAATTTGATTTATGGACAGTCTTGGGAACAGACCTTGTTCTGTGGACTTTCTGTACTTTCAAAAATAATGTCAAATGGATAGGAGTGGTAAAAAGAGAGAGATAGGAAGTTCTTTTGGACGTGAAAATAAATTCTTTTTCCCTATTTAGTCATCTGATCCAAATCAGCAGTAATACTGATAGATGAACTAATGCAAATTCTAGACAGCTTTTAGAAAAGATTGTGAAGTGAGGAAGAATATAAACTGAAATTTCCAATCATAGAATACAGGGGTTGCGAATGGGAGAGGTGAACTCGCCACCTTAAAAATGCAATTCTTGCACCCTAGTTTTCTATTAAATCTGCTCTATCTTATGGCAAGAAATGGTGTAGTTAGTTCACCTATCAATGGTTGAGAATTAAAGTTATAAATATGGCAT